TTTTTCTCATTTGGCTTATACTCAGTTAGCCAGAGCATATGTAGACTATGTAAATGTTGTTTACTGGATCTTTTGGGGCTGGCCCATAACAACTTTGAATTTATTCAGTCTGCCTTGACTGAAATGTTCTCTTCATACGGATTGGAAAGAATTTTTAGTGTCCTAACATTAAGTGTCGTATCATAAGATACTGATACAGGTGTATCAGTGAATAAGTATGTATACAGTGTATATACTTATAAAAGCTCATAGTTTCTATTGTGTTATTTTATTTAAGGTCCAATACAAACCACAGAATGAGACACACTATACTTCCTCATCTATTATAAATTATAGAGATTTCAATCATATGCCTCAGTACTATATATATTTATCAGTAGACTATACAATATTAGTGCTATATCTGGGTTGTTGGAATAAAGTAGACATTTCATGCAATCATTTTGCAGAGCAGAACTGCTCTTACACGCTTTCCATTCAGTTACTTCAGATATACAAAGAAGAAAATTTGGTGGTCACTATTAACAGTTTTTACCTAACAACATTTATCTTACATGGTATCTGAGAATATGGATGGATATTAAATCTGGAACCTAATATCTAGTCAATTTACAATGACAATTTCAATGGTAACTATGGCACAGTGTGTCCTGTTTTGCAGCATACATAGCCCATCACTGCATAGGTCTTGTCTACGTGCAGAAGTTGAAGTAATTTGAACTTATGCTGCTAAATTAATGTAGTACTTCTATAATATTGACTTAGTTATATTTTTATGTAGATGCAGAAAACAGGTATATGACCACAGTAACTTTGTCCCTGTTTATTGGTATTATACCATGGATGGTACCAGCACATCTAGAATTATTACATAAAATACCTACCCAGAAGAGTAAAACTAGTATAAAAGGTATGTAGATCCAAGTTTGCTTTGAAAAATGGGATTTAGAATTTCAACTTATTCAGGCAAGTTTCAATTCTAATAATTTATTACCTAAGTCATTGCTGTGATCTCTGAAAACAGAAAATAATATGGCAAGCTTTTGTTTTGTAAAATTACTTCTACCGTGAATGGTTAGGCACTCATGAGTGTTTCCCATTGCAGCTCACAGTGGTGGGTTCAATGAACTGATGAAATGAAACTTTTAGAAGTAGAGCTATAATCGGAATTGTTTGCTATCAGAGCTGATTTTGAAGATTTTTTTTCACTATTCTGAACAGAGTATTAAACAATATTCATAATACCTATTAAGGTACCTTCAAGGTCAATGTAAAAGAAAAACTTTAATGTATCAGCAGCATTATTTTTAAGTAAAATACTTTCCTGTGACCTTACATGGTTATTTTTGTATAAAGCTACAATGAATAACTTATTCTATTAAGTAATGAGCAGTATAGAAATGGTATTTTAAAATTATAGTTTACCTTATATTTCATTTTATGAAAGATTTTATACCTCATGTTGACACTGGTAAACATCATTTATATAACATGCACAGTGAAAAGTACATAGAGAAAAATATACAACTCATTGGCATAGGCAAGGAAAGCAGCACTTAATAAACTCTGATCACTCATCTTCAATGCTAGCTCTCTACTTTATAGCTTTTATTTTTATTTTTTCAAGTAATGCCAAACAATTAGCAGTACTTTTTATGATGCTTAAAATATCTTCTAGCAAAATTGCAGATACCATGTAAACTATATGTATAAAATGTACTCCGAGAAAAATCATTAAAATCCTTGCAACAGTATCACAGAGGCAGCCCATTCCTCATGATGATCTATGATACTGATTTGTTGAAGTTTTATTTTTTATAGGTTTAATGCAGCTAATTTGCTGCCTATGCCTATTATCATCCTTACTGCTCATCCTTTTAGATAAGGCTGGTCTCCTTTTATTAGGAACACAGTGTAGTTTGATTCTTTATAGATTAAAGCAGATCATTAAATATAAATCTCTCAAACATATCCAGTCTCATCATAAGCTATATTTGAGCATCATTTTCAGGAAGATAAATTGTGACAGTGATTTATGCTGTATTTTGAGGGTATAAATCTCACTGTGCCCTTTCACATGTGTTTAGAGAATAAAGATTTTCTTTATTACTGCTTTTTGTAGCCACTAACAAAGCATAAAAGTACCATTCTTTTGTATAATGCTGGGTTCTTTAGAGTCTTAGAGTGGGATTATGCACACTGTTTGATTCAAACTAATTAACAACACTACACAATCGGTATGTATATTTTTTAAACTGTATAAATAATGATTGAGTTCTATGTACATTTTCTGTTTGAAAGACTAGGAGAAGTTTTGTGATTGAAATCTGGTCTTTAGGCATGATAATAATGTAAAACACCATGTATGCCTAGAAACAGGATCTGGCCCTTAAGAAGATGGACAAAAGGGCAGTGAGGGAATATAGTATCACAACTGACAGTAAAGAGGGAAACTTTCAAAGACATTTTAAAACTTCTTCTGTGAAAAAACCCATGGGAACTTAATATAAATTTGGTATATTCTACAAATAATTTCTTTTCTCTTACTGTGAGTGAGAAAAAAAGTGCGAATTGAAAAAAACTGTAAGAAATTTAATTCTTTTTTTTTTAATTGCAAATGAATTAAATTAGAGGTCTTCATAAACTTCTTACATCATGACATTTCTTTCTGTGTAATTAGCTTTCTGTATAATTTAAGCATGTCTGTTTTGTGAATGTGAGACCCAATTAGCTATTGAATAAAATGTTCTGGAGCATAATTTGTTGTGTACTGCTTTTTAATGCTAATAACAGAGTTTCTGTAAAAAAGTTTGGATAATGATGATTCTATTAAGCATACTGATAAAAAGATAAAAGGATCTGATGTAGGGTTTAATTACAATTTTTAGTGTTACAATATGGAGTTCATAATTTTCTTTCTTGTCATACATAATGATAGCACCATGTTTGCAGCTACAAATTGTCAATTTCCAGTCCTAACTTAGTCTATTTATCTCCAAAATCCACAAAATGTAGAACAAGTTATTTCATCAGAAAATCAGTCAAACTTTTAATCTCTTGTGTAAAATATTGCTGATTTCATAGAATCATTTAGATTGGAAGGGACCTCTGAAGATCATCTTGTCCAACCCCCTGCTCAGAGCATGTGAAGTTAGATCAGGCTGCTCAGGAACTTGTCTGGTCAGATTTTGAATATCTCCCAGGATGCAGGTTCTGCAGCCTCTCTGGGCAATGTTTTCTAATATTTTGTCACCCTCATGATAAAAATGTTTTTCTTTATATCACATCAGAATTGTTTAGGACCTTCTTCTGACTTTTGTCCCTTGCTGTGTTGTTCTCTTAGAGTCCACCTTCAAAAAGAGTCTGTCTTTAGCAGTATGTCAGTGTCTGTCTTGTATGGGGGAATTCGAAATTGAGCTGAGTACTCCAGATGTGGTCTTGCAATGGAGTAGAGGGGAATAATCACCTTGTATTCATCTTGCTAATATGGCCTAGTACACACTTGGCCTCTTTAGCCTGAACAAATCATTAGGGAATGGCAAAATGGTTGTGGAATTCTAGGCACATGGAATGAGAGGCATAAGCCTTAGCATGGCAAGGGCTACAGTGGGCAGAATATGGGCTTTAGCTGTAGCTGTCAGCTGCTATTCCCAATTCTCTTGCTGGGAGCTTGGTCAGATCAAGTGAGGCTCACTATGCTCCATCTTACCCAGCTATATCAGATGGTAGATGAAGATGGTATGGAACTGTGCTGGGACCCAGGACAGCGATTTCTTTGCTCAGCACACACACGTGGGTGGTTACAGACCCAACCTGAACAGAGGACCTGCGAATGCCCCACAAACTTGTATTAGTGAGGTAGAGGAAGCTCTGGACAACATGGTCCTTTCCCATTCCCTGTTTATCTAGCTAAAACCCACTCAATTATCTTTGCTGTAGTTTCCCATGTATAGAATAGGTTGAGAGCAGAAGGTATGAGGTAGAAAATGCTGTCATTAGTCTACTGTGAGGACAAATTTGCAGTTGTTTTCAAGGCTTGTAAAATAATGCAACCCTGAACCTATCTCTATTTGATAAGAAAGAACTGAGAAAATGGTATAGTAAAGAAAGAAATATTTCACTGGAAATTCTCCTTTGCTTTCTAAATGGCAGCTGCCTCAAGCTGCTTAAAACCACAGTTTTGTATATAAGTATTATAAGATGGAACTGTGAAGTCCACACAAGCAAGTGTTATCATTTAGCATCTATCAAGGCCTACCCTGCATCCAGCATTTCCAAAGTATGCCCTTCTTTTCTGCCAAGAAATTTTATCTGGAAAGAATTTTAAGGAAAGTGGCAATTTTCTAGGATTTCTGGGTGAAGGTCTCTGTGTGTATGACTGTGTGCATGCACATGCATAGACCAGCTGCACAGCTTTTTGCACAGATATTTCTGTCTGGGAAATGTGGCAACTCTGCACATGATTCTGCTGTTTATAACTTGATAGCACAAGTGCCACCTATTGGTACCTATCTCTAAGTTGACAAAGACACTGTGTCTTATGAACCTTGAAATCTGAGGGGAATTTGCTTGCCTGGTGTTTCAGATCTTTTATCTACAGAAGTATTTGCTAATTAAGTGCCTCTTCCTCCACACGATAGCAATTTTCTGAATTCGTAAGTGCAGAACAGATTTTCTGAAACATGCAGTTTTGCGTTGTGCCCCAATGGTTTTAGTTTACTCTCACTTACACTTTAACCATTTAACCATAACTTTAGTTAAATGTCAGATATCAAAAACATCCAAAGAGATCAGCCGTTCTGTTACATAGAACAAAAGCCACATTTTGTCATGAAGACATTATTGGCAGAGATTTTTTTTTAACCTACTGTGCTGTTTAACCAGTAATACTTTCTTAAAAAGGGTCTATCCATATGAATTACACATGTATACTTGAAGTTCCACTGTATAAGCTTTAAATGCCGTATTAGTTGAATTGATCTTTTGCATTGTACTTTCAGGTTCGTATTTTTACCTATCTGATTGGAAGAGAAGCTGCTTTTGCTGATAACCTGAAGTGGATGGCCTGTGCTAACAAAGGTTAGTTACCCTTCAACTGTGAAAGCCTTGTTTTCAAAACCCTATTACTGAGCCTTCCTGCATATCTGACCCTTCTACAGATACAGTGTCGCTGACAGCTAATCAAAGAGGAAGGGTGTTTTTTTTCCAGGAAAGGAAAAGACTTGTTTATCTTGTAGCATGCAATTTAAAAAGAAAAAAAAAATTTGAAATGTATTTTTTTCTTAAAATATGTGTGAAGCTTTTAAACTATGTGATCTTAAATTTTTGTTCAGAGAACAAACTTTAATTTCAAAGCATTTGTTCTATTATAGCTGTTATTACTCAGTCAGAGTTAGTTTGGTTCCTAAGAACATTGGGTATAAGTCCTGTTGAGTTAGGCATGGTATGTAGAACACCAGACATTCTGTCCCTTGAGGAACTGACAGTGTAATTGAAAAAAAAGTTTTATATTCTTTAAGGAAGGAGCATTAAAATGTGTAAGATGCTGAGATGCTACAGTAAAAGGAATGACTAATATAAGTAAGAATGATTCAGAAAAAAACCAAAAGCCCTAATTAATCTTCAGGTTTTCCTTTTCCTTTCCTCTTGGAAAAAAAAGTTCTTTTTTTCCCGTTGTGCCACATTACATTATGATGAATTGCATCAGGTGCTATCCATTTAGTCATTATTTCTTTAACTACTGTTATGTCCAGCTGATGGAAATTACTCAGTTTGAAGTCTTGTCTTAATCAGCTAATATTACACTATAATTTAGTTTAAATAATAGTATAAGAATCCTTTGAAGCATCTTTTTGAAGACAATTTAATCAACAAAATCTTTTAGCTTTTTAGCTGAGCTCTACAGATTCATAAAGATCTAAGTACAGCAACTCAGAAATTAGGACCAGGCAATAGAGACTGCCTTAGTAGATCATCTGGTCCACGTCTTCCTTTTTCCCAGAGGGGGAAAAGTGGTCACCTTTGTCATTCTTCAGGACTACTTTGTTCTTTTCAGAGCCATGTTGCTTTGAGTCAGGATCTTACTCATATGAATCAACTAAACAGCTTAATGACTGTTTCTTCTATAATTTTTTTTCTCTCTGTTTAATAGTTACAATACCTGCTCTCTGATAGCTTACAATGCAAAAATCTTCTACCTCTAATCAGTAATTAAATACTTTTTTATAGCTTTGAAAATGACAATTGGAAACAGCACAAGTCATTATGTCAGACAGTATGGATTTAGATCTTTTTCTTACAGTTTTCATCTACAGCTTGTCCATTTTCTTTTAGTGAAATGAAGGATTACAGCACAACAGATGAGTGTAGTAAAGTTGGTCTAAAGATTGGCTGAATGGCTGGACTGCAGTTCACTACTTGCATGGGTGGGCCCAAGTATGTTGTTGTCACTGAGGGTCAATGACCCTAAAATCAATTTTCCTTGCAGTGATTTTCCCCTTGGAAGCACAACATAGATGAAGGCTGTTTGCAGGGTTTCCAGTTGACTGGACTGTGGACAGCAATCCTTTCCTTCAAAATGGGTCACAAGGGAAATTCATACCACCCTGCAGAATTTCTTTAGCTTCTAGATTCCGGTGGTGAAACCTTGAAAAACCCCAAGCATGTTTTTCTGTTACATTTTTATGTATAAGTAGGGCATATCTAGAGGGAGTTGGCTTAATGAGGCAAAACACCAAACCATTTTAAATACATTAAAACATTCAAGAACCCCCAAGTCCCTCTAGAGCTGTTTGTGAAATTTGCAGTGATTTACTCTTCTGTATCATAAGCAAGTGCACATAAAGGAAAAGAATAAAGATTTACTATGATTCTAAGTGAACAAAGGTAAAAGTTACCTAGTGCTTAGCATGCATGTGCCAGATTTTGAAGTAAGCAGGCACTACCTTTCCCTCAGCAGTCACTTCCAGCAGAAAGCTGTAAAGATAAAGATGGGAGTTAATGCATTACTTACTAACAAAACAGCCAGGATTAAACATATTTTTCAGTGAAATTCTCTATTGCATTAGTAATTTGACAGCATCTGTTTTAATTATTATTATTTGTTTTAATTTTTATTACGGATCATCACTGTGGTTGTCATATTGTAAAATGGACAAAGGAGAGGATTCATCAGTACAAAGGAGCAGGGGCTGAGAAAGCAATGGAGAGAAAAACGCTTTGCATATCAGAGGTCTGATAGCTGCTCTCTAACTGCCAGCAGAGGACAGATCAGCCCTGAGGCAAATTGTGCCCCAGCTGTAGCCGTTTATAGACTGTTGTATTAGCAGAGGAAAGCTGCGTACAGGAAGCCCCAGTCACATCCATTCCCGTCATTAGCATGATCCCAGCACCTCGTGCACTGTGGGCTCTTGTGGGGGGTGGCAGGCAGCCAGTTCAGATACTGTTCACCTGCTTGAGAGGCCTCTTAGGTGGGGGGGCAGGGGGGTATTCTCCATGGGAGTTTTACAGCTGCAGTGAAACAATGAATTCCCTCCTTAATCCCTACCCAAAGTGGATTTTTTAATTCTGATATTTTATTAGTTGCAAGAATATTGCATCTATTTTGCACAGTGTCCAGAAAATGAAAAGTACTGCACTTAATGTAAAGATCCATTGGAGGCATTTTGAAAAGTTATGAGTCTAATGGTGGACATTCTAGAGAAAAACAAGCCATCCAAAAACATTGCAAGGACTGCGTAATATGGAAAGGCAGCCCACTTGCAGAGCATGTATCTGTTTTTAACCACATTATTATACATATCTCACACTTGTCATTACCAAATCTTACCCATTTCCTTAATGAATTTTTTCCTGCTGGGGAGGAAAAAAAAGTAGCGCTGACTGTAAGGGGCTCTAAGGTGGCATAATTCACACAGCAGGGAGCTGAGAAGCAGGTGCTAGAATGCAAAAATTTAAGTATGGGTTTGCTGCTATTGCTTACAAGACCTCAGCAGCTGTGCTCAAGAACTTCAGAGTATGTCTGTATCTGATGATTAAACCTTGGTATAGGAAGAGCAAGATTTTTAAATCCATGGGGCACCTTTGATCTCTAGATAAGAGAGAGAAATTTAGCAGTGTAGGAAGCTAATTCTTGTGAGCTTTGGCATTTATTACACATAGCTACAAATACATGAATCATCAAAAAGCCTAAATATACAGTGAAAATGAACTAAGAGAACGTTACCTAATGCTGTCCCTAGCTATAATATAGTAATTTTTGGTAGAGTTTTCCCATTAGGAGAAGATTGAAAAATAAATATTAGAACAAGCATTAAAAACTATGGGAAATATCATTTACATAGCTTTTGCAATTCCTTTAACTTTGTTGTAAAGAAAGCTAAAACTTAAGGAAAACAACTTTTTGTAGAAACAAAGTAAATAGATGAACCATAAATTCACAGAAGATAGGTAATTGTTCATATTACATGAGTTATGGAAACTGTAAAATCATTGTAGATTTTTCTAATGTGAGCTACAAAAGCACAAACCATATTTACAAGGAGATTAAACAGACAAAATCTTCAATGCAAGAAAGGAGCTCTTCACAGAAGTTACAAATGAAACCCACCCCTGAGATCACATTATTAAAAACCTAGAGAGAATCCATATGGTTGTGTCTATGACACCATCTTCATCTAAGTCTTGTCTTTTACATATCTTTAGCAGCAATTTTTACATTTCACTAAACTCAGTTATTTGAAGCAACCTGATTAAAAGGAATAATCTCTTTCTTTCAATTTTTCATCTGTTGCAGCCCGATATATGAATAAAACTGTGAGACACAGATATGATTAAAAAAATAGGATTTTTTCACACTAATCCCTTTTTCTTCTACTTGCTAACCTTGACTTCGTTAGCTGTCATACTCACTGGGCAAGGAGCACTGCACGGCTAGCCTGCAACTACACGCATGCCAGTATACGTGTGCTGATTTACCATCTGGCTGCTTCCAAATAGGATGCGCAATGTCACTTTCAATCTTGGGGTAGTCTCAAATTTTCACTTGTCTTTGAGACCTTTATTTCTTTGCTAAGTTTATATGAAATTGATTCAGTCTTACTCACTGTCTTAGGAAATTAGGCTAAAACCTGTTTTCTCTATTGTGCAGTTTAGAGATATGGTTTGCAAGACTACAACAAGAAATAAATACTTTGTCTGTAGCATGCTGCCTGGAGAGTTCTTTGTAAGTTGTGATATGACAGCATGCATTCTCAGAAATACTACAAAGAGAAATACCTAATGTAATACACATCCATATGAAGAATAGTTACAAATAAGTGCTCAAGTAGGTGTCTCTGCTTATGTTGGCTGTACCTGGTCCAGATGGATCTCTTTTAAATGAAGGAAAAGAAGAAAAGAAAAAAAAAATTCAGCATTATCAGTATCTTGTAACACATATAAACCTGTATGGCATAACACTGAAGTGTTTCAGATTGGGTTCCGTTTTCTGTTTCTTTTTTTTTTTTTCTCTTTCTTTTTGTTTGAGTAATCAATTTTCAATTGAAAAACTGACATAAAAACATTTCAGGAGGCAATCAGAATGCATGCTCATTTTACAGCAAGGTATTCTTTATCTCTAAGGTAATTTATAGGCTGTGATTAAAGGATTTTCCAGGCATAGACATCCAGGAGCTTCTTAAATGAGTCTTTAAATGTCTTTAAGGTTTTGATTTTAATGAAGTATGACATTAAAAACTGTTAACTAATTGTGATTTCAACCTGTATGGGTAAGAAAATACCACTTGATTGAAAAAGATCTTTCTATCACCTTAGATACAATACAATTTTTTTCAAGTAGTTAATCTCCTCTGACTTTTCAGGCATTATTTAACATGCTCATGTATATATTAAGTGTTTAAGTGCAGGTGTTGTCCTGTTTTTCACTGTACACTACTCAGTGCAAGCAGGTCTCTGCTCCAACATAGAAAACACTGAAAGAAAACAGTGACTAAGTCTGCTCTTTAAGGACAACTAAAAACTTGTCCATGGAGACAACTGAAAGTATGTGTTTGGTAAAAGGAGAAAAGGAGAGATAAACA